CAATACAGTAAAACTGTACATTTTAGAGTGGCCTTTTATTGTGGGCAGCTTAAGGCACACCTGTGCAATAATCATGTTGTCTAATCAGCATCTTGATATGCCATACCTGTGAGGTGGATGGATTATCTCGGCAAAGGAGAAGTGCTCACTAACACAGATTTAGACAGATTTGTGAACAATATTTGAGAGAAATAGGCCTTTTGTGTACATAGAAAAAGTCTTAGATCTTTGAGTTCAGCTCATGAAAAATGGGGGCAAAAACAAAAGTGTTGCGTTTATAATTTTGTTCAGTATGGATGGATGGATGATAGATGAAGTGAAGTGACATGTCCGCCCGGGGAGCAGTTGGGAGTTCGGTGCCTTGCTCAAGGGCACCTCAGTCGTGGTATTGAAGGTGGAAGAGAGCGCTGTACATTCACTCCCCCCACCTACAATTCCTGCCGGACCTGAGACTCAAACTCGCAACCTTTGGGTTACGAGTCCGACTCGCTAACCATTAGGCCACGACTTCCCCACAGATGGATAGATGGATAGATATAGATGGATGGATAGATGGATAGATGGATGGATGGATGGATGGATGGATGATAGATAGATAGATGGATAGATATAGATGGATGGATGGATGGATGGATGATAGATAGATATAGATGGATGGATAGATATAGATGGATGGATAGATGGATGGATGGATGGATGGATAGATAGATGGATAGATACTCAAAAACACAATTATATTTAAGATGCACTCTCTGATGTCTTAGCATCAGTTTTGCTTCACAGATTAATTTGTCTTGTAGGATGTTTAGGTTTTTTTTCAGGAAAAAAAAATTATAATCATTGCTGAAATAATTTTTAGCAGTGTAAAATTTAGGTTCATGTTTAAAACAATCAGAAAATACAATTATATTTAAGATGCATTTTCAGATGTCTTAATATTGCTTCTCAGATTAATTTGTCTTATTGTAGAATGTTTCGTTATTTAAAAAAAAAAATTATAATGATTGATGAAATAAAATGATTTTTAGCAGTGTAAAATCTTATTGATAGACAACCTTTATAGACATTTTACAATAAATTTACGGCATCATTTTACAATAAATTAAACATTCATAGACATTTTAGAATAAATTAACTGCATTGACATGTTACGTTTATAGCACTGCAAAATGTATACTGAGTGTCTGTATGATAATATAAATAACAAAGAATAATATTTTTTAAAAATGTGTTGTTACATGGATATTTTTGGGAGAAGACATTTATGGGGAAAAGTTATGCAATCTTCCAAACACTGGGGAAGTATAATTTAGTAAAATAATATACTACACATATATTATAAACAATATGGTCACACTTTATTTTGGGGATCAATTCTCACAATTAACTAGTAGCTAAAACTACAACTTTTGCCTCAATAAACTCCTAATTTGCTGCATATTAATAGTTCATAAAGTGAGTAAGTTTAGGCATAGGGTAGAAATATGGGATCTAAAATATGGACATGCAGAATGAGGCATCAATATCTGCTTTATAAGTACTAATAAATAAATAAAAATAAGCAACTGGTTAATAGTGAGAATTGGTCCTTAAACTGAAGTGTTGCCAATAATACCCTTTTAAAAAAAATCGATAATTTTGGCCCATAAAATGTATTTTTGGGTATTTCTACAAATATACCCGTGCTATGACTGGTTTTGTGGTCCAGAGTCACGTCACGTCACGTCACGTAACGTAACGTAACATAACATAGATAAGTATCGCTTTTTATTTCTCCTCTTTCCTATTGTTTCGCTTCTGTTTCAGTTTTTATAACCATTTCTTACAATGTATGTATAGGTACTATTTATAAAGTTTTAGCTTTTAGTTTTGGATCTGTTTTTAGTTGTTTTAATACTACAATTGATTGCTTCTGTTGTCCTCATTTGTAAGTCGCTTTGGATAAAAGCGTCTGATAAATGACTAACTAACTAAATAAATAAATAAACATAACATAAGAAATATAATATAATATAATATAACATAATATAATATAATAATACATTAAAAAGATTTGTTTTATAAATTTGAAAACATTTGTGAGTACAGTATTAAGACGAAATCTATGTTTTGGGGTTCTCAGGTCTCAGATGTTTATCCATTCAGCCATCTCTCCATATCTTTCCAACACAGTGTTGTTCTCACTGAGATGTACTGAGGTCCTCTTCACCGGAACATAATTTACTCTTTCCTGGGTTGAGCTCCCACAGCCTTCAATCTGATCCGCAGCAGCCGATCACCAATCCCCCAGCCTAATTCTCTCTCTTTAATGAAAATGCTTTATGTGTTCTTCAGGCAGACTCATTTAACAGCACTGCTACAACAAATGACCATCATAGATTTCTTTTATCTCAGCAGAAGCTGTGAAATAAATGGTCCTCTGCCAGCTCATAAAGTGTCACCAGACTCGGGCCTGTAAAGCCGTCTAATGAATGAGGCGAGACTGCGGCGAGCGGAGATCAAATCAGCCTCTCATTTTTACCTGTCAGCTTCACGTCTTCTGCTAATAACTCTCAGCAACAGTTCAGTGGTGCAGGTGGGTTTACGATGACTTTCTGACCTGCTCTTTAAAGCGTTTCACTTCTTTATTAATGTTTTATCACCGGAGCTCGCTCATAAACAATCTGGAGGAGCCTGTTGCATATTGATCGTCAGTCAGTGGAGGGGAATCTGTAATGGACCTGCCCTGGAATTCTCACATATTGGTGCAAATGCATTACTGACCTATAAAACTTTAGTGAAGGCCCCACTGCCAGCAGTACAAAGGGCACAACAGTGTAACAAATGGCCATCTGTGTGCTGAACCACGTGATCACGTCATACATGAGCTTGAGCGTGGCGGAGCCCAGGAAGTGTTGCCTCACATTGTGTCTTACCTGAAAAAGAGGAAATTGTATGACTTTAAAAGCTCAAAAAAGGACTTTGACAATAAAACGTAACATTTCAAACATAAATGATCCTATTTTAAATAAATTGCCTTCATTTTCAGATTAATAAGGTTTATAATAATAACAACTGAATAATAACAATAATTTATATGGAAGAGAATTCTTGTTAATACTATACAGCCATACAGTAGCATTGAAAAGTTTGGGTGAGTATGTTTATTTATTTATTTTAGTATTATTTTGTTTTGTTTTTATAAATCCATACTTTTATTAAGCAAGATCTGCATTACACTAAAGACTGGAGTAAATTCAGCTCTGTCATAAAATAATAAATTATAAAATTGAATAAATGGCATTTTAAAATATATTAAAATGGAAAAGATTGATTTGAATTTGTAATAATATTTCACAATATTACTGTTTTTACTGTATTTTTGATCAAATAAATGCAGCCACGGTGAGCATTTTCAAAATGTTTTCAAAACCATTCAAAATTCTTACCAACTCCAAACAGCTGTCCTATTCGGATTTTTTAAATCTGGAATATTGGTTTAGTCAGGTTATGACAGTAGATTACAGTGTTCATGTGACATGTATATATTCATAATATCCAAATTCTGATTATTAAAAGAATCAATCTTCAGTAAGTGCAGTAATTTTTATTATATTTATATTTTAGAAGTCGCATTGTGGATTTGAAAAAGTGAAACGGCTCTGGAAGCAACAGTGTATCATGCAGACAATGCCGTGGGCTGAATAGTTTATATTCGGAGTAGCATTTTAAGATGGACTACTGCAACTAAGTGACCTACTTTTCTCTTTAGTTGGAGAGGCCTTGATCATTACCATGCGACAGAGGAATGGCGGTATTATGCAGCACACGACTAGATGAATAATAACCTCGACTGAGCGCATATAGTCTTTTTTCGATCCCTGCATGCCTCTGATTTATCATTAGAGAAAACCAATGTCCAATTCTTTCTATGAATGTAACAGTATTTTTCCATCAGAACTGCTCCCAATAGATGTGCTAACACTTCTTCAGGTGCTTTGTGATATAAATCTGAATTGAATCTTGTTTTGACAGCCCATCTTGTGTAAAGAATACTCACTGCCCGTGCTGCCATTGTTACAACAATGCCTGTGATGAAGGTCAGGTAATACCCTGGGTAAACTCCGTGCCAGATGGCTGAGAGGAGGAATGTGGCCGCAGTCGGATTGTACGGGCAGCGCTCATAACACACTCTGCAGAGAACAGCAACAAAGCTCACATTGTTTCTGAGATTTCAGGAAGTACACACATGCTCGGTCAAGATTATTCCGTTTATTTCAAGCATTCACCTTTTCAACCAAAGTGCTGTCTGAATGTTCCAGTTATCCAAGAACATCTTGAAGCTGGTGGCGAACTGTTTAGGACATGAAGAGAAAAGATGATATATTAGGGTTTAGGTCGAGCGAGAAGACAAACTCTGTTTTTGTCTGTGTCTTACCTCAATATTGAGTATTCTTAAGTTTGATATTCTGTCCCATTTTGGGGTGCCATCTGTGTTATAGCCATTAAACCCGAAACCAGCTGCATTGTTGATGGCATCGGCTGTGAAAGAGTGAAAGAATCTAGTGAAAACACCATCACAAAGTGACTGATGCATTATCTGATTCACAATGCCAAAAAAAAACTAACTAGAAACAGGGCAACTAGTCAGAGAAAATGCCTTTTATGAACACAAGAGGGCAGTATTATATTTGAAAATGGTCTATGCTTACTATTATGTTGCAACGTATATACTGCCTTTTTGTTATTATGTGAAAAAGCATGCATTATGCAATAATAAATATATTAAACATATTGTTGTAACATGACCTCATTAAACCACACTGAGCGTTTTATTGACTGAGTGGTAATAAAATGGTTATGCATTTTTCTTTTTCAATTTTATGCAAATATGTCATGGTATTTCGATTATGTAATGTGTCAGGAATAAGATTATTCTTCAGAAGTTAAACAAATATTTCCTTCAGCGTGCTCCGTTGTGTACTGCACGTTTTGATAATGTCTATATATGTATAATTTAATACGAGAAGAGCACATTGTCTATCTGTTTGACTCACCTAACGTCCATACAAAGTAGTATTTGGGGCGTAAAGCCAACATGGAGATGTAGAGGTACAAGACCTGGATGTAGAAAGGGTTAGAGGCCATAAAGGTGTTGTTGATGACGCGCTCCGTAGGGCAGGCGGTGTAGATCACCAAATAAACCATTAGTGACAGAGCACACGTGCACACTTTCTGGATCATTTTTGCACCCTCAGATTCCAGATTTTCAAATATTTGTATCTCGGCCAAATATTGTCAAATCCTAACAATCCATACATCAATGGAAAGCTTATTTATGCAGCGTTCAGATGATGTATTTCGAACAGTGTTTATTCCAAATTGTAATTTTGTGTTACAATATACACTACTATTCAAAGGTCTGGGGTCAGTAAATATCTTCTTTCTTTTTAGTTGTAAGAAATTAAGACTTTTATTCCGCAAGGACCTGTTAAATGGATAAAAAGTGATAGTAAAGACTTTTATTGTTAGAAAATAATTCTATTTTGAAAAAATGCTATTCTTTTAAACTTTTTATTCAAAGAATCAAAGAAAAAAGTATCACAAGTTCCCAAAAAAATCCAAACAAGTTCCAAACAAGAGTTTCAATACTGATAATAAATCAGCATATTATAATGATTTCTGAAGGATCATGTGACACTGAAGA